TCTCCCCGACGGGGAATTGAACCCCGGTCTCCCGCGTGACAGGCGGGGATACTAACCACTATACTATCGAGGATGTTGTTTGCTGTCTGTCAAACACTGATTATGAAGTTAGGCTCATGTGAATTGCTATGCAGTGATAAACTGCAAAGTAAAAGAATATACATATATATTATAAATGCATTATCGCTATCACCTTTTAATAATATCAAGCTCGAATAATATAATAATTATGAGTGTTCAGGGAGTGTGACGCAGAGTTTTACATAATGGCATGTCAATTTGTTATTCATTACCATATAAATGTTAACAATAAATCAGTTTGATATTGTGTTATATGTGTGTTTTTATTCTTAAATTAATTTAATTATATTTATTACTTCTACACACTGACCTTCTCATTCACCTCGTTTCTCGTTGTTTTGCGTCATCGACTGCTAGCAGATATATTTGTTGCGCATCATTTACTTGTTAATATCCATCTGCACCCTGCTTACGTCCGTCGCTTTTCATTTAAATTGGGCAGAATATTGCGAAATATTTATGCACAGTACCTTGCAAACAAACACAAACAATTGACTTTGCTCCTGTTGAGCCAAAAACTTTAACAATGAACACCTACTCCCATTAAAATCGAACTCTGCTCTGTTCTGTGACGGCTGCTAGACCACTTTGGTCAGGCATCGTATCGGCTGCCTTGACTTTGGTTAAAAGTTGCTTTGCGCAACGCCTGACTGCGTTTCGAGTAGAATGCAAATGCAACGTGTTCAACTGAATGCATCGGAAAGTGCAGCATGGAGGCCAAAGTGAATGAGCGAGCAGTGAGCAGGCGGCTTGATGAACAAGTGCCTCTATAAGGCAAGTTTTGGCAGGCAAGCAGTAGGCCGTAAGCCATTGTCCTTCGCCAAAGCCACTGGTTGTTGCACCTAGATGAATTGATTCTAAATAGGCATACATAGATACATATCTACTATTTATATGTACGTACATATTTGTTGTCCTTCCCAGCCAAATTCAATTAGCTCGTCTGACTGTCTACCGACTCTGCTAAAAGTAAAACGTCAGACCAAGCGAGCTAACTAGTCAGCTACTAGATGTGGTCAACTGTCAGTAAATGCAACCAATTCCGAAAACTGAATGATAAACCTAATATACCCTGTAGGGCGTAGAGAATTGTTGCAGAGTTTCTTGAACGTGATGTTGAGTTTTCAATGAAACAGAAAGACTTTAGATCTAATTCTTCACTATTTCTTAAATACTTATTGCCTAGGGTATATACTCGTCAATCATTAATCGTCTTTGGCTGCACTGAAACATCTCAGCTATTTGCTCCTTGTTAACGATAGAGAAACCACCCAAAGTTCTGAATGCAATTAATGCAACTAATTTGTGATGCCATTTTAGCTTCAACCATTTGAATTTTTCCCTCTGCAATTTGTTGAGAATTTGTCCTAGTCTCACACACATACACACACACACACACACACACACACACGGAGACCCACATATACATGGGAGCACAAGCCCAAACAGCTTCACACCATTCATTAGGATGCAAATTGGGATACTTTGTAGCTGCAGGACGGAGGTCGCGTCTGCAGCAGTTCCTTCGCCTCTTTGGAACAGAAGCCCGCATAACAAAGTTTATATCACATGCAGCATTCTGTTGTTGCATGCTGCTATTGTTGTTGTTTCTATTTACTGTTGCCAGCATATGACATTATAAGCATTTATCGCTATGACCCAAAAGTAATTTGAATTGTGGCACAGGCTGCACTCCGACGAGACTTGGTTAATAATTTCATTTGATTTTTGCCAGGCTCAAAAGTTACGCTTTGAGTAACTGAAATATATATTAAATTAAATTTATTTTATATTAGTTTGTAAAGTTTAATTTGATTAATTAATTTATTTTTTATTGTAGCCCCATCCGGTTGGTGATACTATTTTAATAATTTTCTGCACTTTTTGTAGGCTATTTAACTATAGTTTTAGTTGACTCTAGTTTTGTAAACATCTTCTAAATTAAAAAAAAAAAATAATAATAATTAAATAAATAAATTAAAAACAAAAAATCATCAAAAACTTACCCATTATTGAGTTACGCAAAAATAACAAATAATTTTTTTTTTATACCCTGAACCCATTGAAAATGGGAAATCAGGGTATAATGGTT